GCCCTGAAAATAGGGAACGAAGGAACCAGATCAACCACAGCGCATCCCCAGACACGGTACGCTGGCAACTGCAAAAAGCACAACCAGACAACACAGGACGCACCCCCCGGCCAAACCAATCAAGTACCAATACCCCAAGAACCCCTCCGGAAAGCAGCCGTCTCGACCGTCGCCAGGACGGAGAAAGGCTGCACACGTATAAAGCTATCACCAGTACCAAAGAGCAGAAAACTGAACCGAAGGGGCTACCACAAACTGAGGGGAAGATAAGAAGGCACCCTGAACAAGGACCAGGATGGCTCAGGCGACGCATGAGCAGGCCGGAGGGGAAAAAAAACACGAGAAAACGTATGAAACGTCATACTGTCGCCAAGACGAAGCTCGCAGATGGGACACCGTCAACAAAGCCACCTGAACACCAGAGATATGGTGATACCCGCGTCAAAATACCAGACGCGAAGAGCCAAGGAGAAGGCTGAACTAGTCACGGACAGGACCGATTTGGCCTGCTGAAAGAGGCGGAGCCTCAGGAAAAACGCCCCGGGTTCGGACACCTATCAAGCAGCGTCTGAAAAGAAGGCCGGGCCGGCCACCATGGAACCATAAGGACTGCTCTCGTGGGAATGGGCTGCAACCGAGCCAGAATCCAAAGCAACAGCTGGACCGGGAGAAGAGGAACAGGTACCCCCCACCTCGACCAGTCTTGCCGAAAGCATCCACCGTGAAGCCCTCGCAGGTGGAAAAGGGCGCCACAAAATGGGCGTCGCCTAGACAACGTTGACCCAAAGACGTCCATGGCCAGGAGTCCATACGCCTGACAGAGCCAACAAAACGAATCAGCGACGACTGGCCAACCCACGAAGAGGAATGAACCGAGACAGCTGTCTGCCAGGACGCAGGACACACCCCGGACATGAACCTCACGGTTAGCCAAACCCTTGTGGTTCCGGCAAGAACCACCAGAGAACAGTCCGAACAGAGCTGAATGGTAGAGCACCTAGTGACCCAAACCCTCCGAAGCGCAAACCAGATAGCCACGAACACCCGAACCGTGCTGTGAGCCCGACGGACAGACAGACTCCATCAACCTCGGCCGACCTGGTGAGCACTGGTCACAAAGCCCCAGCCGAGAGACGACCCGTCCGTGAACACATCGAGCGAAGGCTCGGGGAGGTGCCAAGGCACGGAACCCCGAAAACCCCAAAGAGGAAGCTGGTGACACAGCACCAACACAAGATCCCCGGAGGAACCCAACGAATGCAATGGGCGGAAGGGGAGTCTCCGAAGGAACCAACAGACACCGAAGCCAAACCCGACTCCGCGGGCAGACAAGCACGCCAAAGTGCAGACTCCCGCACAACCGCCCAAGCAACCGCTGAGCAACCCGGGACCCCCTCCTGTACAGCCGAAGGCGGGACCACAGCTGCAGTAACACTTCTGGAGGGAAAGACAATGAGTGGCCCAATGGCCCTGAACAAGGCCCAGGCCGAACCCGGGACGGAAACAGATGGAAAAACCTCCAGATCACCAGGAAACCAAACCCGGCGATCTGGAAGGAACCATCCCCTGGCGAGCAGACAAGCAGACTGACTGGGAGCCCACACCAGCCAGTCGTCGAGGTAGGCCAGACACCGAATCTCAGACTCAGACAGGGCACTAAGATCCGGTAAAGATGCAAAAAGTATACGAAGTGCCCATTACAAAATAGGGAAGGCAATAAAAACAGCAAACCTGAAGCCCCACCACCAACTGTGCCAGTCCCAGAAAACTGGAGAGGAACGTGCCAAGAAGTGACCTGGAGGTCCAGGGCCACCATCCAGGCACCCGGCCCCAACAGAATCCGAACAGGAGACTACAGTCCTCCGAGGAGGGCATAGGATCCAGGGCGCATACTGAAGAAGTCCAGAAGAACTGCAGGCGGGAAAAGCTCACGACTGCAAAAAGCAGACGGGAACCCCAGAAGGATGGGGCGGATCAACCACGCCCCACGAAGAAGAAATGACGAAGCGCAGGGGAAGAAGCTCACCCTGCCAGCTCTGAACCCCCCCAAGGGGGAGAAGCCGTCCACCGACGCCAGCAGAGGCCGGAAGACAACCCAAAGCGCCCACCAACAGCGGGACCATGCGAGAGGCAACAGAGCAAGCTGCCCCCCAGTGCCCAGTCAACAGAGAAGGGAACAGAACCCCTTCCGAAAGAAAAAGTACACTACCTAATTCATGATGAGAGACTACGGGAAGTAAACCACACTTCGTTGGAAGACGAAGAGTGAGGGGGGGACCTGATCACCACATTCAAGATTCCCAAGGGAATCGACAGGGTTGATAAGGACAGGCTATATAACACAAGGGGCACATGCACTAGGGGACACAGGTGAAAATGAGTGCCCAAAAGAGCCACAGAGATAGTAGAAAGATTGTTTTTTTTTTTTTTTTTTGCTAGTGTCAGAATGGTAATTGGAAAGCACTAGGAAGGAATGTGGTGACTCCACACACAAGTAACAAGGCTGACCCCCATACAGTTTCACATGTAGACATGATAGAGCCCAATAGGCACAGGAACCTGTACACCTGTTGATAGACGGTTGAGAGGCGGGACCAAAGAGCCAGAGCTCAACCCCCGCAAGCACAACTAGGTGAGGACATATATTGTAAAAGTACAAGTCGCCGACTAGTGGGCAGAGAGCACCACGCCGGCCAGGCAAAGAAGGCACAAAACTGCATCAAAAGGCCCACCTCGACAGCAAAACCGCAAAGTCCCAGCACGACCACAACATGTGCCAAGACCCAAAAAGATCAGTCTGCAAGCCAGGACGACCCCGGAACCCCAGAAGGCAGAACCGGGTCACACGAGGAAACAAAGTCCCCTGAACCCACAAAAGGGGGCCCAAGAGGAAGAAACCTCCAGAACGAAACCAAGGAACCTAAAGGAACCCAGAATCGAACCAGGGGGAGCCCAAACCACCACATTTTGCCGGCGGAGAACACCACTGAAAGGCAAAGCAAAGCCCCCAGCAGAACCCCCTGGGAAAACGGTCCCAACAGACCGAAAACCGAGGGACAAGGTGTGGGAGCAAGCATACCAGCTAGGGGCAGAGCCTAAACCCAAAGGCTCAGACCCAAAACAGAAAAATTGGAAAAACCCGGTGTAAAATCAACACCCAAACGTTCCCAGAGTAACAGGCAATGGCAAGAAAACACCAGAGAAGCAAAGAAACGACAACAGGAGAACAAAAATCCTGAAAAAAAAAAATGAAAACTCACCCAAGACGCTCGCTCGCACACCCAGTCGCATGTAAACAAACCGCAACGCCGCCCTGGTGGCCATGCCGGGAAACCGGCAGACGAAAGGCCGCCAGCAGGGACTGACGCTAAATACACAAAAACACGCCAGCAAATGTGGGAAGCTAGCAGACTGGACGGGCGAAAAACGCCGCCCAACAGCAGAAAAACCCCAGCAGGGGCAAAACCGCCCCAGAACTGCTAGCAGGCATCCCCCACAGCCACAGGAACCAACAACAGAGGCCCCGGGGCAGAGCCGTCCTCCAAGCCCTCCGCCCTTAAAGAAAAGCAAGAGTCCACAGGAAAGGCAACAAGAAAGGGCCGCTGGCAAGACCCAGAAGCCTTGGCAGGAGGCACAGGCTCAAACCTCCGTCCCCAACCCGAACGGGGCAGCCCCCGAAAACCGCCCGAGTTTCTGCCGCAACTAAACCCCGCCCCGACCCCGAAACCCGCAGACGGTTCGGAGCCGGGAACATAGAGGGATAGGGGCGAACAGCACCTAACCAAACGGGGCAGCCACGGGGCATTCGAGTGGGAAACCAACCTAGCATGTTGCAGCAACCTAACCTAGCTTGCAACACGGATGCCGCCTGTACTCTGAACAGTAATAACATCAGGAGAGTACTGGAGAACAAGCGGCAGCATGACGGAGGTAAAAATGGCGACTGTCACCTGGTGACAAGGGAACAGCAACCAACGATCCCGTACAAGACGGGTTGGAACCCGGAAGACACATTCAATGGTCCCCCGAGCCCAGACAGGGGTTTCCAGGGCCCGTAGGGTAACAACTATGGGAAGCACGGGCAAGGTGTTGCTAACCGGTTAAGAAACCCAAACATAACAAGAGGGTAGATTATAGCACTGAAAACCCCTGAGACGTGTACAAGCACGGGGGCCTAGCAGAGGGCCGCCAACACTACCAGTGGAACTATAACCACCTTAGGCAGACCCCCACCAGGCAAGAAAATGAAAAACAAAAGAAAAACCCCGCAAAAGTACACCGTCTTCAGAGGCAACAGAAACCGGCCGCCGCTTAGGTGGCAGGCTGCGCAACACCTTGACGCCCTAACCAGCACAATACCAATCCCTACCCAGGACCAAACAAGGGCCCCAAGCCCCAGCTGGCCCCAAGGGCGAGGCAAATGCCGAGCAGCAAGAACCTCTACGGGAATGCCAAGAAGCAAGGCACTTTACATCCACAACAGGAGCACGTGAGGTGTCTAGAAATAAAGTATGACCAGCCCTCTCCAAATCCTCTCATTGTGCCTTGGAAGCTGACTGAACAAGAGGAGCATATTATCCTCTAGAAACAGGTAAGCCTGCAAGGAACCCTCATCAGCCAAGAGATGTAACCTCAAATGCCAGTATTTAAGTGCACATGCTAAGAACTTAGGATCTGCTTCACAATCAGACTGTCAAGATGAGACCTCGAATTGTCACACAGTTGACAAGTTTTTATGGGGAGATGAACTGTTATTTTCTCCAGTGACTTTCTTTAGTTTTTACAACCCTACAGTTGTATTTTATACAGACTTCAATGGTGCTGGTGTAGTATGTCAACCTACCTGACTATGTATGATCATGGAATAAAACAAGTCAGATAATATACTTTACAAAGCAACAGAATGGGCATGCTCAGATGAGCAGAAATAAACAGGACAGAGTACTCACAAGAGATCAAAAGCAATACAAGTCAATAAAGAGCATAAGCTACTGACTCACCTGTGCAGACAGCTTTAAAGGCTCTGTCTGCGAGAGGGAGACAGGATTACTACTAGTCTCTAGTGCCTGAACATAAGCACGAGCTGTGTTCAGTCGCAGACGGTACAAGTCATGTTGGAACACCCTGTGCATCACTGAAAACACAGAATTTGGAAATACAGTTAGTTAATGTAATAAAATGAAACACTGAAATCAAGAATGATGGCGAAACAAAGAGAGATTATTAAAATTTAACATTAATTACATTTTATATAAAATATAGCCAAAGGCAGATAAAATTGTAAGCTAGTGAAAAAACTAAAGATGGCAGCTACTGTACTACAAATAAGGCATTACTAAAGAATCTGAACTGTAATTCCTGTAAGCTGTTCAGAAAAAACTTGTCAGAGAAGTGGATTATTGTGTTGTGCAAGTTGAATATCATCATGTGCCAATATACTATTAATCAACAAACAATACAGAAAAATATACTGTATATATAAACAAACAAATACATAAAAAATATACTGTATATATAAACAAATAAATACATAAAATATATACTGTATATATAAACATATAAATACATAAAATACCAGCGTTGAATGTAATGAAACGTCATTTTTTGGGTGAGTCCCGGAGACTCCCCGGAGCTATCCCAGGCTGATATGCTAATGACAGACTTTGGCATCAGTCATGTGTATGGAGTTCTTAGGTCTACCAGGGACCACGACCAGAATCGGGCCCCCTCAGAGAGGCAAGGGGAGCAATGGCCTATAGAAACCCCCATGTGGTTGGAAGCATTCTATGTCTGCCATCGACGGATCAGGCACCCAGAAAGGTAAGTGCTCCAAAACAAACCCCTATTCTGGTTAAAACTGCAACCAAAAGCCAAACTAGTGGATAGAACTCCCCAACAGAAAACAAGCAAACTAGTGTGATGTCACACGTCACTGCGCCGCTGTCTGCGCAGCTCCCCCCTCCCCGGGAGGTGGAAGAGGGAGCCCCAGACCCTTCACGCCGGCTACCCACACCTCAGTTCTGAGGCTGGATGTCAAAAACACGAAAAAAAAATGCCGACCGGAGGGAGGGAGGGATGCCGAGGAGCCTCCAGGACTCACCCAGAAAATGGCGTTTCAATACATTCAACGCTGATTTTCTGGGGGGAGCCCCATTGGGTCCCCGGAGCTAACTACCCACAGATGGAAAAAAGAGGGACTTACCCGGGAGGTGATCGTCACTCACTCCACAACTCTAAGTCGAGACAACTGGCTGCAACTGCCGACCCAGAGCAACACAGGCCCGATGGGGCCCAGGGACATTCACGAGGTAACGAGCAGCCAGGACCCTGTTCGACTGCCAAAAACCCCGCGCCCGAATATCAGACCAAGACATATTTTCAAAGACGGCAGCAAGAGCCTCGAACTTACAGACGTCATGGGCACGGGAATAGACCGCAGGCTGGCTGGATTTGATAACCCTGCGGACGACCTGGGAGACCCAAACCCGCGAACAGGGAAGAAGGGAAACCGGATCAACCCAAAGCGCATCCCCGGACACAGAAGCCGTGGCGCACAAATAACAGCGAAGCGCCGCAACTGGACACAAAGCATGATGCATCCCCGGCCGTACCAACCAAGCATGTTTGCAAGTGAACAAAACAATCTCCATGACCAAAAGAGCAGAAACCCCTGTGCCTGAAGAGAGCATGAAGCTCCCAACCCGACCCCCAGAGCCTAATGCCAACAAGAAAAGAGCCTTGGAGAAACAATCCCGGACCGAGGGGGCCACAACGAAAAAGAGGAGACGAAAGGTAAGCGAGCACTCTGTGCAAAGACCAGGATGGCTCAGGCGGCGCATGAGCAGGCCGGAGGTGAAACAAAGCACGGGACAGCTTGCAAAACAGCACAGATGTAACATCGATACCGAAGGCAAGCTGAAGCGGCTCCACCAGCGCCGCACGATACGCGGCGACAGTGTTAGGCATAAGATGACGGTCCTGAAACAACCAAAAGAGAAAGGTCACCCTAACAGACAACGAACTAACACGATGAAGACGCAAAAAGAAACAGAAGGCCCACCAGGAAACTTCATACTACCGCCGAGAAGAAGCCCTCAGATGGGACACCAACAAGCTGATCACCTGACCACCTGATCACCATAGAGATGATGATAGACTCGAGTAAAAAAAAACATACGTGAAAACTCGAGGAGAAGATCGAACCAGCCAGGTGACGTACTGGCCCGATCTGCTGAAAGAGGTGGAGCCGCGGGAAAACCCTCGGGTTCGGACACCGAGCAAGCAGCGCCTGGAACCAAGGCTGGGCCGGCCACCAAGGGGCCATAAGCTGTGTTACCGCTTTCGTTGTCTCCCGTTCGGGTTGAAGCTGGCACCTCGCGTGTTCACATGCCTTACGCAGATCGTGGTGGCCCGTTTGCGTTTCTTAGGTGTTCGGGTGTTGGCCTACCTCGACGACTGGCTGGTTTGGGCTCCCAGCCGGTCGGCTTGCTTGCTAGCCAGGGATTTGGTTCTTTCCTAGCTCACCGGGTTCAGGTTCTTGGTGAACTGGAGGAAGTCCCATCTGGTCCCCTCTCAGGTTTGGACTTGGCTGGGTCTCGTTTGGGACTCTCGGACCGCTTCCTTGTCTCTCCCTCCGGAGTCTCTCCTGCAGCTGTGGTCCCGCCTTTGTCTGTTTCTGGTGAGTCCTCGGGTCACCTGGTGGTTGCTCGAGGGGGCTGTGCGGGAGCCTGAACTTCGCGATGGTAGTCTACCCACCGGGTCGGTTTTGGCTTTGTCAGCTGTTCTGGTTCCTTCGGGGTCGCCCCTTCCGCCTCTCTCGTGATCGCTGGGTTCGACCCCCGGGGGCCTTGCGTCGGCTGCTGCATCACTGGCTTCCTCTTCGGGTTTTTCGGGGTTCAGTGACTTGGTGCCTACCCGAGCCCTAGCTCGAAGTATCCACTCGATTTAATGGCCTATTTAGGGCTGTACCCTGGTCGTTATTTCCGGAGCTCCGGTATTTCCGAAGTCAAGGGTTTTTTTTTCAAGTAACATTCAGGTAAGATATATTTTGTACAGACTGCCACTTGGACCACCCCTCTAGTGCCTACTACCCTGTGACGTCACAGATTCACGGCACATTGTTTTGATTTGTCAAGAGGCCGGAGTGTTCGTTCCGTGACTTTGTTGGACATATCTGCACAATCAAGGAACATCCGTGCACCCAGTCGGCTCCAAATGCACTCATTGTGTCAGTGATGGCTGACTGGTGGGTGGATGGGCAAGCAGGCAGGGATGGAGAGGCTGAAATGTAGGCAGGCAGGCTGGCAGGGAGAGGCTGGGAGGTAGGCTGGGAGATAGGCAGGGAGGAAGGCAGGCAGGCAGTGCTTGGGAGGGAGGCAGGCAGAGCTTGGGGAGGAAGGCAGGCAGGCAGGCAGAGATTGGGAGGAAGGCAGGCAGGCTGAGATTGGGAGGAAGGCAGGCAGGCAGTGCTTGGGAGGGAGGCAGGCAGAGCTTGGGAGGGAGGCAGGCAGGCAGACAGAGATTGGGAGGAAGGCAGGCAGGCAGGCAGACAGAGATTGGGAGGAAGGCAGGCAGGCAGGCAGAGCTTGGGAGGGAGGCAGGCAGGCAGGCTGAGATTGGGAGGGAGGCAGGCAGGCAGGCAGAGGCTGGGAGGTAGGCAGGTAGGGAGAGAATGGAGATGAATGGAGGGATGGATGGAAGGATGGAGGGATGGAAGGATGGAGGAAGGGATAAAGGGAGGGAGGGAGGGAGGGAGGGAGAAAGGGAGGGAGGGAGGGATGGAAGGAGGGATGGAAGGAGGGAGGGAGGGAGGGAGGGAGGGAGGGAGGGGAAAAATGGAGGGGCGGATGGTGGGAGGGGGGGATGGAAGGAGGGAGGGAGGGGGGGATGGAGGAAGGGATGTAAGGAGGGAGGGAGGGAGGGAGGGAGGGAGGGAGGGAGGGAGGGAGGGAGGGAGGGATGGAAGGAGGGAGGGAGGGATGGAAGGAGGGAGGGAGGGATGGAAGGAGGGAGGGAGAGATGGAGGGAGGGAGAGATGGAGGGAGGGAGAGATGGAGGAAGGGAGAGATGGAGGGAGGGAGAGATGGAGTGAGGGAGGAAGGGAGAGAGATAGTTGATACCTGGTTGATAGGGTTTTGGGAGTTGTTCTACTCCCCAAGCCCGGCCTGAGGCCAGGCTCGACTTGTGAGAGTCTGGTCCACCAGGCTGTTGCTTGGAGCAGCCCGCAGGCCCATATATCCACCAAAGCCCGGCTGATCCGGAACTTCTCTTAGAAAACAGTCCAGTTTTCCCTTGAAGATGTCCACGGTTGTTCCGGCAATATTTCTTATAGTCGCTGGGAGGACGTTGAACAACCATGGACCTCTGATGTTCATACAGTGTTCTCTGATTGTGCCTATGACACCTCTGCTCTTCACTGGTTCTATTCTGCATTTTCTTCTATATCGTTCACTCCAGTATGTTGTTATTTTACTGTGTAGATTTGGGACCTGTCCCTCCAGTATTTTCCATGTGAATATTATTTGCTATCTCTCATGTCTCCTTTCTAGAGAGTACATTTGGAGAGCTTTGAGACGATCCCAATAATTTAGGTGCTTTATCTTGTCTATGCGTGCCATATATGTTCTCTGTATTCCCTCAATTTCAGCAATCTCTCCTGCTCTGAAGGGGGAACTGAGTACTGAGCAGTACTCAAGACAGGACAGCACAAGTGACTTGAAGAGTACAACCATTGTGATGGGATCTCTGGATTTGGCCAGGGATAAACCAGGTATCAATCTGGTGGGAGGAATTTAAGGAGGGAGGGAGGGAGGGAGAAAGGGAGGGAGGGAAGGAGGGAGGGAGGGAGGAAGGGAGGGAGGGAGGGAGAAAGGGAGGGAAGGAGGGAGGGAGGGAGGGAGGGAGGGGGGAGAAAGGGAGGGAAGAAGGGAGGGAGGGAGAAATGGAGGGAGAAATGGAAGGAGGGAGGGAGGGAGAGATGGAGAGAAGGAGGGAGGGAGAGATGGTGGGAGGGATGGAAGGAGGGAGGGAAGGAGGGAGAAATGAAAGGAAGAAAGGAGGAAGAGATGGAGGGAGGGATGGAGGGAGAGAGGGAGGGAAGGAGGGAGGGATGGAGGGAGGGAGAGATGGAAGGAA